AAACACCACACAAACAATACGCATCACATAAACATGAGTGTGAATCGCTGCGTTCCCTCCGTTATATATTATCCTATTTCTGAGTACAATATTCTTGAAATAGTGTGATTTTGAACAGTATCTTTCTTAAACTGCCGCTCTGTAATGGTACCGAATGCAGTCCAGCAGTGATGTTGACCGACCCAAAATGGCGCCACCGTTGACGTGCCTGGCTGGACCCAACACGGCATCTAGGTATGTATATCTATGGATGAGCAGCAGTGAGCAGTGCTTCTGTTTTTAATTGCTTTAAAATGATGTCAGACTCAGGAAAACGTCCTTCGCATGTCCTTATTAAAAAAGGCTGAGAGGAAGACGTCGTGTTCTGAGACACATAAGCTGGACGTCCGTCCCACCGCCGTCTTTTGAAGATCAGAGCATAAACTTCGTCTCCTCTGCAGACCAGTTTCTGCTCCGCCATGTTGAACGGTATAAACTTTCACTATGACGCGACGAACACGATCAGAATGTACTTAAGCTTTCCGATAGGGAATGTAATCAGATACAGGCGTTTACACGGATATTATTCTTCTATTTAACAGATTATTTACAGGATTACCCACCTCGATCAGTCGGATAGAAACTGTATTCTGAATGGGCTCAATCAGAGTTAGACTATTCTGAGTGAGGTGTGTACATGGATGTATTCTATTCCGATTGAGCTATTAGTCAGATTATTAACAGATTATCAGGCTGCATGTAAACATGGCTAATGACAGTGAGTCGATTCAAAAGTCCAGCTGAATCAAACTTTTCTGTAGCGACGTTTACGTCCACATTCTGGGATGAATAACTAATAATATCTGATAAAACTCAAATAAGACTCAAACAGGAACACAACACAAATCAGGAACCTCTTTTAGCTCATTTAAAATGGCCTGAGATCTTATTTTCTTCAAAAAATGAGCAGATTACTGATCACTGCTTCCAGCTTCCAACGGATGCAGCTGAATCGCCGCCCTCAGATCACAATGCATTTTCACACCTCGTGTGTGTGTGTGTGTGTGTGTGTGTGGGCCTTTTGTCGTGTTTAATGAAAAAATCCTACATACCATGTGGTGATGAAATGTTTAAAGGAGCGTTCCACAGATTTTTCAAAATTTCTACCTAAATCCTTAATAAACTGTATATAAAGTCATTCTGAGTTTTTTAATATGAAATGGTTGATTGTAGACACTCTGATGTCTTTACAGTGGTGGTGATAGGAACCAGGGGTTGCCATGACTACAACACAAATATAGACATTTTATTTACTATCCAGAACCACCAGTGAACCTACACGAGTCTTCTGAGTTTATATGGAATGTTGATGATGGAAAATAGTGATAAATCTGTCCTAATAAATATTATACCATTTCACTCTGTCACATCCTTAGTATTATTTATGATATCATATCACTGCAATATCACAATATAATGGAAAATATCAGTGAGAGTTTTCTTACATAGGTCCCTCCTGTCTGTATATTTTGTGTATATTTATTATATTCCTTATTATGTTATTTCTAATTCAGTTATTTAGATTTTTTTTGCTTTGTTTTGTTTGCACTGTTTTTAATGTATATAATGCTTTAGAACGATTACCTGTGCATCACCACAAGCATTTCAATGCATTAATGCCCTGAGATGTTGTGCGAATGATAAATAAACGTGAAACTTGAACCTACACGTGTCTTCTGAGTTTTTATATGGAATATTAATGGTAAAATAGTGATAAATCTGTTAAAATACTGACTATTTTGCCACAGTTTAGACCCAAACTATCGTCTCAGGCATCAGGCAGTGAATTCATAACCATTTCATGTAGTAACTTTCTGTGAGGGAGCTTTTAGAGGTGGACGTCTGGTTCCTATCACCACCACTGTGAACAGTTCTGACTCGGTAAGTTTATCTAGAACAGAGTGTTTCACACCAAACCACTCTGAATGACTCTGTTTACATCTTAACCGTTTCATTATGCAGAAATTTGATCAAATCTGTGGAATTCCCTGAGCTTTACTGCAGACGAGGAAAGGTCATCTTGAATTTACCCAATAATGAGGCGAACAGCGCAGACGGTGTCACATATGAAACCCTGAGAGCTACCAGGCAGCAATAATCAACACAGATCTGTGTAATGATGAAGTGGACTCATATGCAGGATAGCAAAACAAGACAATGTACCAGAAGATGCATGGACATTTCTCTCCTACCATCTCCACACAACATCTTTGTGTTTTTAAGAAATCTGCTAAGGCTTGTTGACACAGGAATACTGTATTACTCCCCCAGTGAGTGGGCCTGTTCCTGTGTTGTATAACAGAGCGCCACATGCAAAGAGGCAGCGAAACAGAGTCTCTTTCCAAAAAGGCTCCCCCTCAAAAAGAAACAAAACAACCAACACAAGCCAGCCGTGAGGGATGCAGTTCATTCTGATGGAAAATTAAAGGGGAACTCCACCACTTTTTCAAAGTTTCTAAGTATTTAAGTTGTAAACAGAGACATTCAGAGTGGTTTGGTGTGCAATGCTCCATTCTATGCTGCAAAAGATGGTCTCTTGTCAAGTGAAATGATCTTAAATCTAGTCGATATATCTAATATTTCCCATTTTGAGATGGTTGTGCACTCATTATGAGATTATTCTATCTTATTTCCAGATTTTTTTTTATTTGTTTGATTTGTTTTTATTTATTAAATAAAATGATCTCACTATACTGGCAGAAAATGTAGCTGGTTCCAAGCTCATTTCTTAAAACAAGCAAAATTATCTGCAAATATAGTGAATTTTACTTGATAAAATGACTCAAAACAAGTATAAATGTCTAGAAATAAGATAGGAGGTGAAATATTAGATTTCTTGACTATATTCAGGATCATTTTACTTGACAAGATACCATTTTTGCAGTGTAGAGAAACTTACCGAGTCAGAACTGTTCACAGTGGTGGTGATATGAACCAGACGTCCACCTCTAAAAGCTCCTCACAGAAAGTTACTACAGGAAATGGTTATGAATTCACTGCCTGATGACTGAGACACTGTTTTATGATAGTTTTGAGAAGATTTTGGCCTTAAAACCTATTTCTTTAAAAAGTATTAAAGGTGGAGGGATACATGCAGGGTGTTATGAGGCGAAACAGTCCCCAAAGAAAACTTACTCTTTTACATTTATTACTATTTCAACATCATCAACATATTAAAACCCAGAAGACACGTGTAGGTTTTAGAGAGTCAATTAAACGGCCATAAATTTCACTACAATGAAGTATTTTCACATCAGACTTCTCTGAACGACTTTGTTTACATCTTAACCACTGGATTAGGCAGAAATATCTCTAAAAATGGTGGAAATTTTTCTTTTTGATCACTGAAATAAAAAACTCATAAAGGCAATGATGAAGTGCACGTGTGTGTGTGTGTGTGTGTGCACATGTGTGTGTACACTATGTGTGCGTGTGATGACACTAATGGAGCGTTTAAGAAGTGATGAGGACAGATGTGGCAGCTGAAGCTGAACGTGTAAATGAGAAAAGCACCAAACACTGCAAACTCTGCGCTCCACACTGCCCAGCAAACGTCTGGGAACACTTTGACTTCTGAATTTCCCAATTAATGTTTGATTCTCACTGTTACCTTTGAATGATGTTAATGTCAAAAAATATGTTGCAATTACAAAAAAATGAGGATTAAATCATTTTTAAAAAAAAAAAGATTAATATTTTTAAAAACTTATATAGATTTAAATGTACTACTTATTTTGCCATATGTTTCTATTAACTGACAATTTTTTACATTACTTTAATAGTAAACAATTTAAAATATGTTTTGTATTTGCAACATGTTTTTGTCATTTTTGCTTTCAGATTTTATTGTTTTATTTGAAACTTTTGGCACAAAATTAACTCCATACTGGAACCTTTGGCTCCAGAAAACGGGATCTGTGCTTTTTCTAATGGCCATCAGTCCAGTACAGGGTCCAGTTTTCAAGCATTATCTGAGTAATCAGATAATGGGGAAGCTCCGGGTCTACATGAGTCAGACAGTGATCCGATTTCTGCTTTGCAACCAGCCAATAAACTCACAGAAGAAGACGCGACGTAAACGTGATGTAAACTCAAACTTCATGCCACAGTTTTTTTTTAAGAACATCGCACTTTACCTGAAAATATGAACATACATCATCTAGAAGATGAAGAATATTTAAATCCTTTATTTCGTCAAGCATGTATTTGGTTTCCAAAAGTGTTTTACTGCTCGCTTAATTCCGGTACCGCAGTCTGTTTTCGCACATGCTCAGACTGAGAAATCCGGAAGATATCAGAGTAAGAGTTTACAGCACTGAGAAATCTGATTACTGAGCTAAATTCCAGCCTCTTTATCAGATTTCTTAATCAGATTTCTGGATCAGAGTATGGTGTTTACATGACCGTTTGAATAATCAGATAACTGCAGAAATCTGATTATGATCGGATTATTTTGTTTTCCTCTAAATAAAACTGCTTATGCTTTATTATTAATTTACTGCAAAACCGTCAAAAACACGGTGATATATGTTAAAAATATTTGGAAAAGCTAGTCCTCAAATGTTTGATGGGCAGTGAAGATTAGATTAATGTAAGTAGCTACTTACTAGGGCTGTAGAATATGTTGTTAATTATTATTGCAACATTAGTCTTTTCAATATTAATATCACAGAAGACTCAAATGAGCTCTCAAATAAATCACTACATTTTGGTTGCCTGACCAAACCTAATCTTAGTCTTAGTCTTAAACCTTCGAGACTTGTATGATTTGATGAATCACATGAGCTAACAAGCTGGAATATTTCAAATAAAAAAATATAGTTTTAATATGTATCACAATCAAAGTGAGTAACAATATAACGGCAGTTTGTCAGTCATTCCTATTGTGCAGCCCTTCTACTCACACAGCTGCTGGTAGTTACAGTAAAGCACTGTGATTAAAAAGCAGAAACACCTCTAACCTGATTCTCCTCGTGGGTCACCCTCATCTGCTCTTTCAGGACGGATGTGCGCGCCGCCTCCTCTTTCCTCATCACTCGCTCTTTCTTCAGCTCGGGGCTCCAGAAGCTTTTGATGCTGTTGGCGGAGGAGCCCAGCTTGCTCTCTTTGAGGTCCAGCTCGCGGCGGAGGAGTTCGTTTTCCCTCTGCATGTCCCTGAGCTGGGCCTGAAGCTCCATCAGCTCCATACCACCTCCACCGCCTCTGACGGCCTGCCTCAGCAGTGCCCCCTGCTGGTGGGAATGCTGTAACATGGCCAAAGAGGCTGGGTCACCGGCGTACGACAAAAGGTCAGCGTGCTGGAGACCGATGGACGCGATATTTGGGCTGCTGCCCATTGCGGTCACTCTGCCACCGTAAATAGCGCGATTGGACGCCCTGCCCAGCGTCATGGTGCCTCTGGGGTATGTAGCGGTGGAGCCTACGGCTTCGTGGTCGCTCAGGTACATGGGGCCCGAGGTGGCGTAGGCGGCATTTAAAGACTGTATGTTCTCCATAGAGAGGGTTTTGGACCCCGAGGAGCTGCTCGTAACCCGGCGGTGACCCAGACGGGGCGATCGAGGCAGACGGGGCGATCGCACCGGGCTGCCCTCAATGTGGCCCACACCCCGAGTGCTGCTGTACATCTCTGAGACCAGAGGGTGGAAGAGAGGGGGAGGGAGAGGGGGAGTGGTCTGACAAGAGAGTGACTCCGCCCCTCAGAGAGTGAAATAAGTCTTACTGCATCATCCTGAGGGGAGAGAGAGAGAGAGAGAGAGAGAGAGAGAGAGAGAGAGAGAGAGTATTAGAGTATTATTTTTATATCTGCGAAATCAGACTTTTAGATGTGAATCATATGGAGATGGACCTACTTACTGAGCTAGCAATCTAGTTAACAAGCTAGCTAACTAACTATCGTTAGTTAAAACTAGCTACCTAACTAACCTGGTAACTACATAACTAACAGCCTACCTAAATTATAAACTGTCTAGTTAGCTAACTAGCTAGAGAAACGTTGTCCAGGCTCAAGGCTGTAAACAAGGACTCCCTGTATTAGCACTTTTAGGACTGTGCATCATTAAAAGGGAGGAAACTGGTACGAAGCCCACACCAGCAGAATCTCATAAACGCTCTCATGTTTCGAGAGACTGTGTATATATGAACTAAAAGGCCAAATACATCCAATGTAAGTACGTGAATGCATGGACTATTCGATGCTGCTGGCTTTGCAGTTCAGCGACTGTTTACTGAGATGGGAAACATTCGCTCAATCAGAGTAACTGTACTTCAGCTAGAGTGATGTGGAAGAGTGGTGCTTCACATCAGCCACACTGTGTATACTTTAATGTAGTTTGAAGAGACAGATTCTGTACGGTTACAGAGACGAGAAGAGAAGAGAAGAGAACAATAGAAAAAATTTGAAAATACAAGAGAAGAGAAAAAGACAGAAAAGGAAGAGAAGAGATCAGAGAACAAGAGAAGTACTGAGATTTGAGAAGGGATGAAATCAGAACAAGATAAAAGATTTGAGAAAGAAGAGAAGAGAAGAGAGAGACGAGAAAAGAAGAGGTCAGAGAAGAAGAGAAGAGAGGAGAAGAGAGGATAAAAGGTCAGAGAAAAAGAGAACAGAAGAGAACAGAGAAAAAGATTTGAGAAGAAAAGAGAGGAGAAGAGAAGAGAAGAGAAAAGGTCAGAGAAGAAGAGAAGAGGTCAGAGAAGAAGAGAAGAGAAGAGAAGAGGTCAGAGAAGAGGAGAAGAGGTCAGAGAAGAAGAGAAGAGAAGAGAAGAGAAGAGAAGAGAAGAGGAGAAGAGAGGATAAAACGTCAGAGAAGAAGAAAAGAGGAGAAGAAAACAGAGAAAAAGAGAAGAGAAGAGAGAAGAGAGAAAAAGAGAAGAGAAGAGACGAGAACACAGAGTTCTGAAGGCTTGTTCTATACAGTGTTATTATTGGGGTCTAGAGCTGGAGATGCACACTGAGCTTAAGGACAGTAGTGACTCCACTTCAGTACAAAACACAGCACAGCGTGACAAATGGTGATTTCAGAGAGGAAATTGTGTGGATAAAAGGCGCGCACACACACACACACACACACACACACACGCGCACACACACACACACACGCGCGCGCACACACACACACACGCGCGCACACACACACTAAGTGGCCTGTGTGTAAGCGTTTGGACACGGCTGTGTTTGATGTGGAGAAGGTGAGTCAGGAGCTGCAGGGCACTGAGCTTTGGCAAGGAGTCTCACATACACACACACACACACATACACACAAACACAAACAATAGCTGACAGTGCTGATCACCTCTGACCCACAACACACACTCACACACACCACTTAAACCTGCGAAAAGCACAGTTTTCACAGCTGACCTGAAATAAGCAACATCATTGGCTAGAAAAAGTCAAATTACTGTTTTTAATTTTCTTCTCCTTATTATTCCACACTTAAATATACCACTCCTTTCACAGCTCTCGAGCTAGAACCACGAAACTACCAGGGTGGTACATCCTATATCCAAACGGGTATAACGCTTATACCTCTACCTCTTCCACCACAGTCAGTACACACATTGTAGCCAACAGCCTAGCAACAACTTACAAACCTCCTGGGGTAGCATAGCAACAGCCTGGCAACACCTTAGCAACCACCTGGAACACCTTAGCAACAGCCTGACAACACCTTAGCAACCACCTGGAATACCACAGCAACAGCCTAGCAACACCTTAGCAGCCACCTGGGATAGAACGACAACAGCCTAACAACACTTTACTGACCTCCTGCGGTAGCAAAGCAACAGCCTGACAACACCTTAGCAACCAGCCTATAACACCTTAGCAACCACCTGGCTTAGCCTAGCAATGGCCTACAACACCTTAGCAACCACCTGGATTAGCATAGCAATGGCCTACAAAACCTTAGCAACCACCTGGATTAGCATAGCAATGGCTAAACAGCACCTTAGCAACCTCCTGGAGCAGCATAACAAAAGCCTACATCAGCTTAGCAACCACCTGGCTTAACATAGCAATGCCTACAACACCTTAGCAACCACCTGGTTTGGCATAGCAATGGAGCAATGGCTCAACAACACCTTAGCAACCACGTAGCTTAGTATAGCAATAGCCTACAACACCTTACTACACACCTGGCTTAGCACAGAAACTGCCAAACAACATCTTAACAACCACCTGGAATACCCTAGAAACCATCTAACAACCATGGATGCAAATCCTCAAAGCTTCAGCGCTAAAACTACAGAAAACCTCAGACACCAAACAAACAAACAAACAAACAAACAAACAAACTTTAACCAGTCTGAGCTCAGCGTGTAACAGAGCAGCACAGCGCTTCAGGCTTTCAGCTCAATCTCAATCTCTCTCTCTCTCTATTTCTTACTCTTTCTCTCTCTCTCTCTCTCTGTGTCTTTCTGTCTCTCTCTCTCTCTCTCTTTCTTTCTTACTCTCTGCCTATCTCTCTGTCACTCTCTTCCTTGTCTATTTCACTTTGTCTTCTCTCTTTCCCTTTTTCTCAGTCTTTCATTCTATTTCTCCTCTCCCTCTCTTTCTCTTCTCTTGCCCTCTTTCTGTATCTATTTTATATTCTCTCCCTCTCTTGTCTGTCCCTCCCTCTCTTACCACTCCCTTTCTCTCCTGTCTTTCTTTCTCCCCCCTCTCTTTATGTCTCTCACTCTCTCTCCCTTCTCTTCTTTTCTCTGTCTCTCTCCTCTTTTCTCTCTTCTACCCCTCCCTTTCTCTCTCTTTCTCCCTTCTACCTCGCCCTATCTCATGTCTATCTCAGTTTCTCTCTCTCTCGTCTCTTTCCCCCTCTCCGCCTCTCTCCTGTTCTCCTCTTCTCTCTCTTTCACCTCTCCTTTTCTCTCCTTTCTTTTTCCCTTTCTCTTTTTCCCCCTCTCTGCCTCTCTCCTGTTCTCTCCTTCTCTCTCCTTACCTGTCTCTCTTTTTCTCTCTCTTTCTTCTACCTCTTCTGTTCTCTCCTGTCTCCCCCCCTTCCCTCTCTCCTTCTGTCTCTCACTCTCTCCTTGGCTCTCTTCTCTCTCTCCTTATGTCATCCCTCTCTCTCTCTCTCTCTGTAATTTTGGAGGTGTGGACCGCTTGCTGCTGGCGATAATGATGAATGCGGTGATGATGCCGCCACCGCCATGGAGTGGGTTGCCATGGCGACCGCTAGCGAGCTGACGAGGAAAGAGAAGCACACCTGCCTTCGCTCCTGTGAGTGAGCAGCTCTGAGCGAGCGAACGAGTTTTAAAGAAGAGAGAGAGAAATACGGGTGGACGCTGCAGAGCTGCAGATGGCCAGGTCATCTGGGCTGTGTGGACATCCAAGAGACGGAGAGGACACTTCCTGTCCTGGACTGAACGCACTCACGCATATGTGTGTGTGTCTGACCTCGACAGGAGACACATCCTGGCCTCCCTGGGTGTGTGTGTGTGTGTGGGTGTGTGTGTTCCAAGCTGAGATGGGACTCGAGTCACATGTTGACTCACCACTCAGTTTGGACCTAAGACTTAAAGGGGAACCCCACCAAATTGTCAAAATTTCAGCATGATTAACTGGGTAAGGTGTAAACAGAGTCGTTCAGAGTGGTTTGGTGTGAAACACTCTGTTCTAGGGAAACTTACTGAGTCTCACTTGTTCACAGTGGTGGTGATAGGAACCAGACGTCCACCTCTAAAAGCTCCCTCACAGAAAGTTACTACATGAAATGGTTATGATGTCTGAGACATTTTTGCCAGTCTGATTGAATACATTCTGATTATAGATTCAGACTGAGGTGTTTATTCTCACTCTACTCAACAATCTGATGAAAATCTCTGTTTACATGCTCACTACAAGTAATCACGTTCATGCATAGAGAACCACTTCGTGTAGATGTTACCATGACAACCAGCATCACGTGAGTCCAGTCAGAGTGAGATGAGCAGCAGTGAGCAGTGCTTGTGTTTTTAATTGCTTTAAAATGATGTCAGACTCAGGAAAACGTCCTTCACATGTCCTTATTAAAGAAGGCCGAGAGGAAGACGTCGTGTTCTGAGACACATAAGCTGGACGTCCGTCCCACCGCCGTCTTTTAAAGATCAGAGCATAAACTTCGTCTCCTCTGCAGACCAGTTTCTGCTCCGCCATGTTGAACGGTATAAACTTTCACTATGACGTGACGAACATTATCAGAACGGACTTAAACTTTCCGATAGGGAATGTAATCAGATACAGGCGTTTACACGGATATTATTCTTCTATTTAACAGATTATTTACAGGATTACCCACCTCGATCAGTCGGATAGACACTGTATTCCGAATGGCCTCAATCAGACTAGACTCTTCTGATTGAGGTGTTTACATGGACGTATTCTATTCTGATTGAGCTGTTATCAGGCTGCATGTAAATGTGGCTACTGTTTCACAATTCACTATTTCACCATCAATACCATCAATTTATCATCATCATTCCATATAGACTCAGAAGACTCGTGTAGGTTCACTGGTGGTTTTGGATAGTAAATAAAATGTCTATATTTGTGTTGTAGTCATGGCAACCCCTGGTTCCTATCACCACCACCGTAAAGACACCTGAATTTCTCTATAATGGAGCTTTTCATATCAAACCGCTCTGA